CGCTTGCCTGATAGCTGTTCTCAGCATTTACAGTGATGTACAAACGATCTGGAGTCAGCTGGATTTGGAAATCAGTACATTCCGGGTATATGCTTTTTTTCTAACAATTTTAAATGCCGGCAACACGCACCAGATGGGCCTTCGCGATTACGCATTTTTGCACTAGTCTGTGCTGTAATAAAACGGCTTGAACGAGGTGCTCCTGTCTTATTGTTTTGAATTTGAATGTTTTGATCTGTCATGTTTTGCAGCTATTTTTTGTTAATGCAAGGTGCTTGTAATTTTATGTCCACATTGATTAAATAATGATATTTGTATTTTTTAATCAATGCTATCAGTGATAGTGCAAAACTGCATAACCATGGGAAGCACTGCCTCTATGCATACAGTGATGTGAAATGGTGGAGCCTGAAGGTGCTGGAGTCTTACGTGCACGAAAGTAAAATTTTAGTTCTGGGCATTTTTAGCACTTATTTAACTCAATATTCAGACTGAACAGGAAGCAGCATTTTCCTATGGGTATCTGCTATTTATGTGCGGACCAGCATGCGTAAGACGGTTCAAAAATATTTGTAAAGCTATAAAACATCTTGAAAATGCGAGCATTTTTGGAGATTAAGAATTTATCCAAAATAAAATATGAAGTTAAGAGAAACTAGCTGTTTTTAGGCTACAACTGATGATTTATGGAAGGACATGATGCGATTTGCTAGAAAAAAACGATTTCGACGGCAATACGGTGGAAAGGGTGTTTACAGCGGTGGCAGCAATCCGGGAAATCACGAAGCATCCATTCCATCCGGTGGACTTAATCAGTATGGTGAAGAGGATGGAAACCATGAAGCCACAATTCCACCACATGACTCCAGTGGTTATGGGAGCAATATTGGGCCTGCTAGTTCGGTTCCTTCGCCGATAGATGTTGGCAGTTCCTCGCCAAGTCCGCCGCCTTCTCTTGCTGGTCCGCCGAAGTTGCAGCATCCATCTGCTGGTAAAAGTGCCGGTTGTGGTATGTTCTGTGATTTGCTGGAACTCATTGTGAGGTCTCTCAAAACTGAAAAATGACAGTTATTAGACCAGTATCATAAAATTAGTAGCGTCTTTAGACCCGACGGTATGCTTCATCTGACCAAAATGGTGGTGATTAAA